GATGCGGAGAGATGCGAGAACTTCGCGCCAGGCAGCCCATGGCGAACGTAACTTTCATTGCCCGTAGCGTAGATGGCCCTGGGCTCAGGGCCAGCTGACCCCTGGGGAACCCAGCACGTCCAAGCCTGAGGCTTGATCCTGGTGGAGACCTGGGATGACTCCAACAAGGCGCCGCGCGTTTTTTTTGCTGGGATCCTTCCTGGCGCTTCAGCCATTGAGCCGTTTGGACGACGTGTCCAGCCCGTGAAACGTGAAACTCTTAGGCAAAGGGTGACTGATGTTCTTCGTCTGATTCTCCGCCCCATCGCACATGAAGTGAAGTCCTACAAAAGGGTCCAGAAACAATTCGCAGCGTGTGGGCTGATCTCCAAATTGGTTCCGGAGCCTCTGATGTTTTGCGGCTGCTTGCTTTTGAAGCAAGCACGATAAGTGCATGGATGTTCAAATGCCATCCTGAATCCTTACCTTATGCCAGTGGTCCAATTTGCGGCATGTTCAACAGCCCGCCAAAAAGGGACAATTTAGATGGTCTGGGACTTGGCTAATGGTAAGCGTGTCATCATGGTTGCTGACCACTAAGCCAAGTCCTGGACAAGGGTATGACTGTTGATTGGGAGCCTTTGGACATGACCAAGTTGGCATGTGGTTCCTATTGAAATTCATACCTGCGGGTCTTTTTTGGGATGCTGGCGAGGCTTAAAGGGAGCTAGGAATCCCCCAAATACAACGCTCAGATGGTTCCCATTGAATTCATGCGGACATATCTTATTTGGTGCGGGGTTCAAACTGAAAGGAGACTCCAAGCATTGGGTCCTTTTTTTTCCTATTTTGAGACCCATTGCATGCCCGGATCTAAGCAGGGTATGGGTCAAAATTAAATCACCAGAAAAACCGCAGGTGACGTCTCCACTTGCCATGCCATGTTGGGGTTACCCGATTTTTGACCCACAGCCAGCAGAGTTTTTTGTCTCAGGTCTCCAAGCAGGTGAAGGACCAGGCGAAGGCCCTCCTGCGGAAGCTGCACAACATGCCGACCAGGTGCTCGGTGGAAGGACCGAAGCCGGACCGGTCGGAGGTACCCGAAACTTTGCGGGGATGCTGTAGGAAAAAAGCCAGAGAAGTACGGGAAGCCATCATCATGTATTTTTGGTGGTGGCTTCCCCTATTTTGATACAGTCGGTTCTTGTGTTTTGTCTGTTTAGGGCACTTGCTTGCCATTTCAAGCTTCGTGCCTCACGCACACACACACACAGTGTTCTCAGGAGCTGGGGATTTTGTGTTCCATTACACCATGGACAACGGACGCTCAGCGATGGCAAGAGACGAGAGTTTCCTCTCAGTGTGCAGGGAGAGAGCTCGAGAGCCTGCGTGGTTGAGACAGTTGCCACACCTGAGGTGTGTGTTACATGGCGCTCTTTGACAAGAGCGGCTTGGAAGAAGTTGGGTCAGTGCAGTGCCCTTTGGTCAGATAAGCGTGGCTCGTTTTTTGAGGGTACCCAAGTTGGTGGGGGATTCAAACGCACACCAAAGGCAAACCACTCATTTTGGGGGTCTAAGTTCTTGTGACACTCCACGGATCGCTTCACGAGGTTACCCCAAGAACCTCGCCTTCTGCTTCCTTGAGGCAAGGCATGCCACCACGTTGCCTCAGCCTTTTCTTTGATTGCGCGCCTGAAAGGACATCCACCAGTTGTTTCAGCAAGAGCTTCAAAGAGAATTTGGCACAGGAGCTGGAATGCAAACCCTGTTAAAACAGTGTGTCTGTGTCCCATGCTTGATTCCTGGCGTTCACCGGCCTGGCCCTTGTCGATCGTGAGTTTTGCAGGATCTGTAGACTATAGGTCTCATATCGAGACAATCGTGGCATGGCGGCATTCATTGAGTGCTGCTGTGAGTTGCCTTCCGCGTCGGCATCGGGGTTTGCCTGTTGCCGGTCTCAGCTTGTTTCTTGTTGAGCTGACCAGTGTTTGGGGTTTCACTCAACTGCATGTCAAAGCAAACTATATCTTGTTGTGCAAACGTTTCCGTTCCAACAACCCTCACAAGCCGCAAATTACATGTGTCCCCATCCCAGTGCTGCCTCGGCTAGGATTCAAAGAAACATAAGAGCAATGTGGGCTTGCGCAAACGACGCTGGCTGGTGGACTGCGCAAAGTGATTGCCAGGAACTTGGCTCAGGAGCTAGGGAATAGGCTCAAGGCCACAGAAGGGGTGGGGGCTCGCTTCAGGGCACCTGGAGCGTGGGCTCGGAGCCACGTGACATGCGTTTGGGGGGGGGGGGATGCGACTTGGGCAGGATGGGTTTGGGAAGAGGCATATGATCTGAATGAGGATTTGAACTCTTCCCGGAGGCGAATATATCGTGCAGTCTGCCAGTCTGCCGGGACACTTATTTGGGACCTTTTTTGAATTGCTTTCCCAACACCAACATTCTGCGGCCAGCCTTTTCTGCTACTATCCTTTCAGGGCCGCCCAGACCACAAGCGTCCCTAGCTCTGTTTCGCTGTCTTTTGCCGCGTCCTTGTCTCGCCTTCGCTCTCCAAGTCCTGTCTGTAGTAGCGGTTCATCTCTGAGATTGATGGTGTACGAAACGAAAAGGAAAGGTTATCCGCTATCCCAGACGTAGGAAAGGGATGAGGGTTAGCTCTTTACTTCCGCTCGGCATCTCGACGCTTCGCGGGATTCGCGTTGTTTCTCTGATCAAATCACCTGCGGCCCAAGCAAGGGCCTCGTCAGATTGCCATCCTTTGAATAGTTTGGGCTGCGTTCCCGCTGCTATCGAAGGAGAAACCATACTTCTTCATCAAGTTTGACAGGCAGATAACCAAGATACTTGGCAAGGAGTGATCAGAAAGCTGCAGCATCAGTTGTCCTTGTTGTCGCGCACAAAAAGTATTTTTTTGCAAAGTACTTTGACATCATAGTAACAGGACTGTCAGAGCGGCATGATACTCACCAATGCACATTGTCATGGCTGGACCTAAGGAAGAATGTAGAGTACCGGGATCCCAAGTCCTCCAAAGCTTTGAGCAAGCTGAACAACAACCTTCAGGAGGTCTCCAATATCATGAGGCGCTGGACTTCAGCATCGCAGTGATGTGAATAACGAGGGTGACGTTGGGCACACGTTGTCTTTTTGGCTACTGACCATTAGGACAGGGCTTTGTCCCCGCCAATGGGCCAAATTCCCATATTCATTTGGGAACGTGAATATTGACACGTAGTTGTGAGTAAACTAACGCCCGTGACAGGCAGAACATCGACGAGATTTTGAAGCGGGGGGAGAACCTGGAGTCCGTTGGCCGCAAGGTGCGGGGATGTGGTGGGTGGAGCTTGGAGAGCATAGGATTTCCCAGCATTGACCCGGCCTATCTGTGGAAAAGCAAGCACCATTTCCACCTTTTTTTTTTCCGATGTGGTTCAGCGCTTTAACCTTTCCAGGCCAACACCTTCAAGGAGGAATCCAAGAAGTTCAAAAGCATGACTGCTCAGCTGAGCTTGCAGACCATGCTGCAGAAGCACCACGGCGGGTCAGTTTTGTTCTTTGTGCTGGTTGTAAAGGAAAATAACAAAACACTTGTGCACATGCAACACCGTGGAAAAAGGCGACACTGACACAAATCAAGTAAATGCTGCCTGCAAGGTATGGCGTCTTCGTGGTGATAGGGTTGATGGCGTTCTTGCTGATTTGCTTCAAGATCTTCAGATCATAGCAAAGCCTCTTGCCGCATCCGCTTTGCGAATGCCAGTTAATGTGAAATGACCCGCTCATCGTCTCAATGTCCGCTCCGAAGGGGCGTGGAACGGAAATACGGCCTGCATGCCGCAGCCACTCGAGTTTTCTGTATCGTGGCCATTCCTTTGTTTATTGTGCCTCTTGCTTTTCTTGCTTTAGGTATAATTATTATTGTTTTTGTTTCCTTTTCTTTTCTTGTCGTCCTTTTCTTGTCTTTTTCCACGTTGTCCTGCGGGGTGGGAGGGGGTTAAGCAGACCTCGGGTGTTTGGCCACGCAGGAGACTGGCACATTCAGCGGCGCCCAGCGCTTGAAGTCTTGGAGATCCTTGATGTCGTTACCCGATTTTTGACAGCCACAACCGTGTGGCTGTGGTTGTCAAAACCGTTTTGGGATCCCATTTTGGTTGGTAAGTGAATTCACCACCCATTTTAGAACCGATTTTAGTGGGGATTGGGATGTTCACTGGGGGTACGGGATGTCGACCCACAACCGTGTCTTTGTTTTGGGGGCCGCTTTTGGTTGGTAAAGGGAAACCAAAACAAAAAGAACAAGCCATTTCCTGGGTTTCAATTCCCATTGTGAGCAAGTGCCGACCCGAGGTCAACTTTGAGAAGTTTGCCGCACTGGTGGATGATGCTGATCCAAGCACACTGCCAGGTGGAAATCTCGGCTCTCAGAGAACTGAGGGGGGCACTGGTGCCGTTTCGATCCTTCCGCCTATGGAGCAAAGAGGGTCCTCCGTCGACTCCCGAATCTCAGAGGGCAAGAGCAACAGCGACTTGATTGCCGGTTCCCTCGGTGTAGGGCAGGTGCGACCTCCTGTTTGCCAGTCTGAGCATCGCGAGGTTTGTCAGTTGCAAATAAACATGGAACCCCAAAAGGGGGGCTCGATTCTCCATTTTGATCTGGGGAGAGAGACAGTTTCCAGGGCAACGGCCCTCTTTGTCAAATATGCATCTTGTTTTGGATTTTATGTTAGTCCCTGCTTCGCGAAGGCAGTACGTACTCTTGTTTGTAAGTGATGAAAGACCTGGGGTAAAGGAACACAACACGCTGCAAGCCACAGGTACTGGTGGGAAACCTCACAAGACAGTGCAGAGTACACAAGCTGAGACACGCATGCAAACACACGCACACAAATGCGTGTATGCGTAGCATCAACAAGCAGAAGCAGGGTGTCCCCGTTCCATCTTTCCAATCTTTCCACACCTAGGAAAGCGCGTCGCCAGTTTCGCCTTCTTATGCTTCTCTCGGTATTTCGGCGCTGTTCTTGGCTCCAGACAGCCTTGCGCCCATCTTACCCTGATTCATCATATTTTACATAGCTGCATGATGTGGCACTTGATGCAGATTGCGCTGTTGGTAGTCGTGCAGTCGGAGCAGACCGAGCAGACATGCGAGGGCCCCCAGGCAAGCAGTGCAGTGCTGCTTCAGGCGTCCACCAATCGCACGAACATAGCATCTGAGCAGCAAGTCGCGTCTCGCATCCAGCAAGACTTGGAGGACATCCAGGCCTCCCTGCTGGAGAGATCCCACGAAGGTGTACATGAGGTTGTTGAGCAGGAGTTGGAAGATGCAGTCCAGGGCAAGAACAGCCGGCGTCGCCGTAGCCGTCGCCGGACCACCACTACCACGACTACTGTGGACTGTGGCTCCAGCGTTGAGTATGTGTCCATTGCCTGGCAAGTGGCTTCGGGCTTCTGCCTGGAGGGCTCGAACAGCGGCGGAGCCACCTACTTGGACACGAGCTCGTGCTCCTCCATCACCAACGGCCGAGACAAGTTCTCCTTTGTGGACCAGGGCGATGGTTACTGCAAGCTGCAGTCAGAGTACGCCACCCGCCGCCGCAGTGCCAAGGGCAAGTCTGTGACCTGCGCCACCAACTCGAAAGCCGTTGTTTTCTGCGCTGCCCAGGGCTCCCAGAGCTACACCAAGTTCAAGCTGGAAGATCTGGGAAGCAATCGGTTTTCAATGTACTGGTACGACAGCTCCGGAAACTCCGCCATTGCTAAGCGGAATGCTTATGGAATTCGGATTCAGGACTACTCCAGTTCCGATGAGCCGAAGTTCAAGGTCTACAAAAATGCGGTCTATAGCAACACTTGCTTGCTCACCAAGAACGATCTTGGCCTCACCTGCTGGAAATGAGTTGGTGCTGAATGGCTGGGCGTGTTTTAGCCTCGCCTCCGGCTTTGGGATCTGGCAAGGGATCTGTATTTCAAAGCTCACCAGCTGCGTGGGAGCTGGAATGTGCCGGCCTGCTCGCAAAATTCTTTGCTTGCGCTTGTAGAGAGAAGGCAGAGAGGTGTGCGTAGTTTAGCTCACGTGGCGCACTTTTGTCTCAGGCATGACGGACAACGCCCTCAGAGGCATGATCAAGGCCTTTTACGCTGGGAGTCAAGCATCAGCTTGCGAAGCTAACACCAGGCCAGTGCGCCGGCAAGCCGCGAGGAATTAAAATCTGCAGTGCTCAGCTCTCAGTGCATCGAATGTCGTTCGGGCGACGCTTGATCATTTTTGAGAGGACGGGTGGGACTGACCATGCGATGCCAGGTTTCAGATGCTCGACACCAACGGAGATGGCTACCTAGGCAGGCCCTTTCATCAACAAGTGGATCAATGCTCCTTCGAGCTTGTGTTGGTAAGGTTTGCATAGTGTCCCTCAATCACGGCCCGCCTTTTTCTTTGCACGTTGCTTTGTTCCAGGTCAAGAAGAGCTGTGGCCCTTTGTGCTGCAGACGGGCTTCGATGGTAGTCGAGACGAGTGGAGCGAGGAGACCCCTGGGGTCCGGCGAGAAAAGCCGTGGCCATCAGTTGTGCGAAACGTGCCGTTTTGTGTTTTTTCCTAACCTGGCATCCGAAAGCCTGTGCAAAGACGCTGGGGGTTGATACATGTCGATGAAGCTTGCGCAGGACTTTGCACTGCTTTGTGACGACTACCATTGTGATCCGAGCAGAGGCGTCTTGGACAACACAGTTTCACAAATGGGCTGGGTCGTGGGGACCCCCGTGAAAGGCTGTGTGCACCACAACATGGCAAATGCATCGCGCGTCACGTGCAGGTCTTCCGTATGCGGACTTTTGCTCTTTGGTGGACGTCGAGTCTGACACAGCTCGGCCCTGATGGAATCGGACTGGACTATCCGAGAGGGAGAGAGAACGAGAAGTGCTGAGAGGGAGAGAGGGAAGTGCTAGTTGTGATCAACGGATTCTACTCGTCTCTATTCCACAAATGAAGCCGAAGACCACACAAGCGATCACAAGTGATAGCTGGCATGCTCGTACATGCAGTGCAATGGTCCAGTCGTTCTCAGACTTGCTACTGCACAGAGAACGAGCTGAAGGGTATGCTCTGGAAGGGCGTGCAGGCTCGGATACATAACTTGTTTGCCAATTTCAATGTTCACAGCTTCACATCGGACAGCTGCTGTGCTTTTTGAGAAGTGCGAATATTTGCCGGACCAAGCCTAGCTTTGGAGGAGCTGGGGAAAAGAGGCTGCTTGGCAGAATGGTTGCAGTGGCAGCAAAGCTCGTTCGGATGCGAAACATGCCAGACACGAAAGTGCACTTGCGCAAGTGTGTGTGTGTGTGTGTGTGTGGCGCGCGGTGTGTGCGATGTGAGATTGAGGTTTTGCAGCGTGCATGGGCATGTTTGGGGGCCTCCCTTTTTTTGGAATCACATATCCAGTGCAGATTTTAAAGCGACTGAACATGCTGACCCCCATGTATGCGTACCCAAAAGTGCTCACGTGCGTACATGCGCATGCCCATGCGCAGGGACGAGCAACGCATGGGCGAAGCAGTTCAGGCATGCATGAGACAAATGGCATAGGGAAGGGCAAGGCAGGGTACAGGCATGCGCGGCCATGTGGGGACAAACAGCTAATGGGTAGTCACGAACCACGTGATGACTCTCTCTGTCTCTCTCTTGCGCTGTGTCCTTTGTCTCTCTCTCTCTCTCTCTGTCTCTTTCTCTCTCTCTCTCTCTCTCTTGCGCTTTGTCTCTCTCTCTCTCTCTGTCTAGCTTTCTCTCCTTTGCTCGCCCGCTCGCATGCTCATAGCAACGTCCAACCTCCTGCACACATATATTAGTGTACATACAATTATGTACATTTATTTACATGAGACTAGACCGTGTCAGGAAACAATTGACCGTGTCAGGAAACATGAGTCAAGAAATGGACAGGGGCAAGTCAAGAAACAATTGGAGGCAAGTCAAGAATGAAAGTGATAAATATTTAGATCGCAACAGCAACCGCGAGTCAGGAAACGCGGAAACCTGAGTCAGGAAACGCGATTCGGAAATGATGTGGCGACCGCCTTTGAATTGGCGGTGATGCTGGAGTATCTGGCACTGCGTGCTTTGCGCTCTGACGCGTGCTTCGCGCATCGTTCCTGGATATCGTCATGGCTCGGATCAAGGAACAACCTGTCGTGCAAAGCTTGTTCGAATCAGGGGAGAGGAGAGGCATGAAGAGACATGCGTGATGCTGGCCGCAATGCAAAGGGGGATGCAGAAGCTACTGCATGCTTTGTCCTTTGCCGTTTGCTTTTGCGCATTGTGCCTTGACGTCGTCTTGGCCCAGGTTCAAGGAAAGGCTTGCGTTTTAGGGTTTAGGTTTAGGGGTTTAGGTTTAGGGGTTTAGGGTTTAGGTTTAGGGTTAGGTTTACGGTTGTAAGGTTTAGGTTGAGGGTTTTTCAGTTTTAGGTTTAAAGTTTTTAGGGCTGAGGTTTAGGGTTCTCAGGGTTTAGGTTTAGCGTTCTGAAGGTTAGGTTTAGGTTTTTAGGGTATAGGGTTTAGGTTTAGTTTCTCAGCGTCTACAAGAAAGCGGGGGGTTGGGGGAAGCGTGGGGGGTGGGGGGGGGGGGCGCAGCCCCCCATCAAAAACAAACTTTCAAAGAAGTTTTTACATCGCGCGATTACAAAAACGAGAACGACGAAGCCGAACAACGGCCCTGTTCCTGTCGTTTCCGCGTCGTTTCCTGACTCACGGTCGTTTCCTGGCTCACGAATCCTTGGCTCCAAACTTCTGAGAGGGCCCCGGCACGCTGTTCTGACTCACAAACCGTATTATTCACTTGACTCCAAACTTTTCGCAACGCCGCGCCGCATTGTTCCTGCCGTTTCCACCTGACTCACCGATGTTTCCTGACTCACGAAACCTCATTCACTTGACTCCAAACCTTTCACAATTCCCCGACGCGTTGTTCCTGTCGTTTCCGGGGCCGACTCACAACATCGCATCCACATATTTCTTGACACGACCCAACCTGTTTCCTGACTTGGAATCAGTTTCCTGACTTCGTCCAACCCGTTTCCTGACTCTGTTTCTTGACTCGCCCCGTACCCGTATATGTACATATATATTTAAATCTTTACACATGCACATACATGCTCACATACACACAAACAACCACACACACACACCCTCTCACGCATGCAGGCACGCACACACACACGTCCGCGTGCCCGCCTGCGTGCGCAGGCACACGCGCGAGCAGGCAAGCAGAGGCACGCAGGCAAACAGGCGCAGACAAGCAGGCAGGCAGGCAGGCAGGCAGGCAGGCAGGCAGGCGCACACGCACGCACGCACGCAGGCACGCAGGCACGAACGCAAGCACGCACGCACGTACGCCTGCAGAGACGCGGACACACGTACACACACGCATACACACACAAACACACACACAAACACACACACACACACAAACACACACACAAACACACACACAAACACACACACACAAACACACACACACACAAACTCACACACAAACACACACAAACACAAAGACACACAAACACACACACACACACACCCACGCACCCACGCACGCACGCACACGCACACACACACACACACACCACCACACACACACACACACCACACACACCACACACACACCATACACACCACACACACCACACATACACCACACATTCCACACACACACACACACCACACACACCACACACACCACACACACACACCACACACACCACACACACCACACACACCACACACACACACCACACACACCACACACACACACCACACACACACCACACACACCACACACACAAACACACACACACACAAACACACACAAACACACACACAAACACACACACACACAAACACACACACACACACACACAAACACACACACACACACACACGCACACAAACACACACACACAAACACACACACACAAACAAACACAAACACACACAAACACTCACAAACGCACACACAAACACGCAACACACACAAACACACTCACAAACACACACAAACACACACACAAACACAAACACAAACACACACAAACACACACACACAAACACACACACACACAAACACACTCACACACACAAACACACACACACACAAACACACACACAAACACACACACACACACAAACACACAGACAAACACACACACGCACACAAACACACACACACAAACACACACACACACAAACACACACACACACACAAACACACACGCACAAACACAAACACACACACACACACAAACACACACACACACACACACACACACACACACACACACACACACACACACACACGCAAACACACACACAAACACACACACAAACACACACACACACAAACTCACACCCAAACACAAACACACAAACACAAACACACACACACAAACACAAACACACACACACACACACACACCCACGCACCCACGCACGCACCACACACACACACCATACA